GCCCATGCTGGCCTTCTTTGACTTTTCATGTAGAGTGGCTTTCTTTGACTTGAGCCCATCCATTCGTGCAAGCAAAAAGGTGCTGATCGATACCCTCCGTGCTAAACCACAACACTATCCAACACAAAACCCTAATTTCCCGCCAAAAGAACACGAAACCCTAATTACCACCACTTCATTTCGACTACAGCCCCATGCTCCATGCACGCATCAAAACAAAATCTACAGCACAAACATCAGCTCCCAATCATGCATGCGACTGCTCGGCGAGGCCATGATAGCGGAATGACATCTGATACATCTGCAAACCAGTTGCCAGCAGAGGTGCCAAGATTCCCATCTCCTGTGAGCCATTCTTTTTGTTGCTGCAAATCAGATCCCCGGCCGGCCAAACCATGCCGTCAGATCACCTCGCCAAATCAATCACGGAGAGAAAGCAACATCAGTGGCCCGGAGATCGCCATGGGAGCCCGGGTCCTCCGTCCTTGGCCGCGAAGCATGCACATGCGATCTCATCCCCATCTCCGGGGTCCGGGGCACGATGTCCTTTCCCTTCCTTTGCGCAGCAACGAAAATTCAAAAGGTGAGCGAGCGAGCGAACGATCGAGTGGTGCCTGTCAGTGGCCACAGGCCACCAACAGTGGATTCACCACCACTGCTCCGATACCAGGACGGAGCTGGAGATATTCTTTGCTCTCGCCAAACTACGGGAGGGTCCATGCATGGGGCAATAATTTGTGGAGCTTTGGATCTGCCTAGAGCTGTCTAGAACTGTGTAGGGTCCTGAGAATCCAAGATATGTCACAGGATCAGGCACAGACTTATTTGTCCCGCGAAAACATGTCAATGGAGTTCAGCTGGTACCGATGTCTGCTGAGAATATGTTGCCACCGGCCAGTACCATGACGATGGCAATAATAATATCAAGGGCGGGTATGGTTCCTGTGTTGAGAAAAAAAAAGACTGTTGCCACTCGATCGCACCACGAGAATGGTATGACAATATCAAGGGCATGATTCCTGTATCCACGAGACATAGACTATTGCCACTCACACCATTTTAGGATGGTGCTCTCTTGGGCTTGGTTTTATAAGTCGGGCACGGCATTTTAGACCTTCAATTCGGCTAATAAAACACGTGTGTTACCCGCAAAATAACACGTATAATATGTCATAAAAATTATATGGTTAGAAACTTGATTTGACGACAAATCATATATGTTGTAAAAAATAATACGTAGATGTTTTCTAGTCAAATTGAAAACCTAAAAACTCGTACCTGACTCATAAACCCAACCGGAAGGAGTATGACAGTATCAAGTTCATGGTTTATGTGTCCAATGAGCCTTGTTGCCAGTCGCAGGATGAGAACAGTAATCACAATATCAAGGCATGGTTCATGAGTCCGGTGAGATTATTGTCTAGCAATGTTACACTTACGGATAAACTAGCAAGATGTCTGTGCATTGCACGGAACGTCAAGATGCATTTTTTTTTATAAAACACATGTTGTGATTGACCCATGCAGGAGTAATCCCATATGTAAAAAACTAATGATATCTCAAGAAAGAGAAGAGATAGGGTGAGGAGTGTAAAAATCCATGCGGCCACCATGCCAGATTGTTCGAGAGGTTTCCTTTTTTAATTGCTCAACAATGAGGTTGTGAGAGATAAGGATGAAGAATGGAAGGCCTTATCTGCAAATGTGGAGAGAGGTGCGGGTATCTTTTTACAAAATTGCCATAGTTTGCTTTCTATCCGTCAGATATAGATCAAACGGTCTATCTTGCAAGATGGCAGGCACACCATCATCACCAACTCGGTTTTTTATAAGAGTAGAGATAGAGAAATTGCATAAGGCTTCTTTCAATGCATGGGTGCTTAGGTAAGGTGCTAAGTACATTAAAGCCCTTCCCAATGCTCCACGGTGTACAAGTGCTAAGGGTGCCACATAGGCAGAAATATGATATGACAAAGTATTTAAAGTGAAGAGAGAATATTATGGTGACCCTAATAAAAACCAATGCTAAGCACATGGATCTACGCAAAAAGACTACCAACCAATACATGAATGAGTTTTATTACTAAACAATTAAATAGAGGAGGCTTAGAGGGTGCATGGATCCAAAGGACTTATTTTAGTCTGACTAAAAATAGTATCTTTAAGAGGCTAAAGTTCCAGGCACCCCTGACTAAAGAGGGGCTAAAACTAATCTTGAGACTAAATTTTTTTAGTCAGGGCTACCCCTACTAAAATATGGATTAGTTCTCTCTCTCATTTAACTCCTCTCCTTTAACACGGACGAGTTCTGGATTGGAGGGTTTGGAGGATAATAAATGCTGATTAACTTGATTTTAGCCTCTTTAGTATTTGGATCCAAACATGGATGAGGCTAGCAAGTTTTAGTCCCACTACTTTTAGTCATGGGACTAAAACTTATCCAAGCACCGTCTTAGCTACAAAACCTAAGCACCGATGCATTGGGAACATTAGTTGCTAAACATTTTAATGCACTTAGCACCCCACTTTAGCACCAAGGCATTGGAAGAGGTCTAAATATCTTGGAAACTAATCTTCCCAATGCATAGGTGCTTAGCTTTTGTAGCTAAGCTTCCCTCATGAAATTGTTTAATAATTAAACTCCTTCATGTATTGGTTGGTAGTCATTTAACATAGGTTCATGTGCTTAGCACCATTTACTTCCGAGGTCATTATAATGCTCTTTCTTCTCTTTAATTACATTGATACATCATTGTTTTGCCTATGTGACGTCCTTAACATCTGTACATCTTGGAGCACTGGAAAGGGCCTAATGTAGCTTATGGAATGAAGTGGTAGCACTTAATTTGAGGTTGCAGGGCTCCACTCCCTAAATTTCAAGGGGGGAGGGTTAGAGATTATGAGCAATAGGCACGTCCATCCGTAAGTAAAATCCCGTGGTTGCTTTTTGTAGATCTATAAATTTTGGACTGTTGCCACTAACACCATGAGGATTGTCATGGTGGGCATGGATTTCATGTCCATTGAGGCTATTGCCGCTAGAAAAACACCAATGACGTGAAGCGCGTGTGGAAGGGACACTGGGAAATAAAGAAATGCGGGGGAGAAGCAGCAGAGCTCACTCCCTTGGCTTCCTTGCCCAAAGTAATGCTTGTATGTCATTAGAGTGGACGCGCCCGCGCTCCGCTCCTGGGACGGATTGTCTGCATTGGATACTGCATGATGAGGATAGTATGACTGACATTATGGACATGTTAGGTTCATAATTAACTTTGCCACAACTAAGTTTTAACCGTGCGCCCCTATAGCAATTTTTTGACTAAACTTTCGCGACCACACTCGTGTCAATTTTTTGGTAAAAAAGAAATGAGTCTATGACGTGTTAGCCATGCAACTAATAATATGTGGCAAGCCACACCTATAGCAAACAACCAAACATTCTCATAATAAATTGTGGCGCATCTAACCTTAGGCGTACAAAAACACTTTTTTAAGAAACCGGTAGGAGCACTGCCTTTTCTTATAAAGGAGAGCAAAATAAGATGTACAGAGGGGCGCACGGTTTTAGGAAACGTGGCAAAACCGCCAAAACGGGAACAAAACCAAATCCTAACTTAGCCAATACCCAGAGCTGTCATGGCTCCAAAAAAAGTCGAAACATTCAGTTTTAAGTAAAATCATGCTCTCTCGCCTGTTGTATAAGTGATATGACTAAGTCTGTTTGGTTTTGCAGCGGCCTTTGTTGCTTCATTAATGGAGCACGAAACAGTGTTATGAACCAAGATTGAGAACTAAGAGGACCCATTCTGAGTTCTTACTAGTGATGATTAAATCATTGAAAAATGAATGTAAAAAAATGCCGATAAAGTCAATCCTTTTCATTTTAATAAGGTTACTCCCTCATTTCATCTATATAGGGCCTAATGTGTTTTTTAAGGCTAACTTTGATCAAATGTTAGAGCAATAATATATGACATGCAACTTACACAAAGCACATCGTCAAATTAGTATGTGAAAAGAGCTTTCAATGATGTAATTTTCACATTATGCATGTCATGTACTATTAATCTTGTCAATAGTCAAAGACGGTCTTGAAAAACGCATTAGGTCCTATATAAATGGAAGGAGGGAGTAAGTATGATGATTTCATCAACTGTGGGGCTGCCTTTAAACACAGTAGCTAGATTTCTTTAGGTCTTGTACAATATCGAAGATTCGATGGTTGAACACATGGCTAAGTAGAAGTCACCTTATAAATAGACGATCAATAATTTTGAATACTACACCATGGAGGATGGCTTAGATTTTCTTTTCCACTCCATTTTCTCACCACCCTTGGATTTTGCGAGTAGAAGTCCCATATATATTGATTACAGGGTACCATAAAAGAGCTATGTTGAATTGTATGATTTGATTTGTAGCTTGCTTTGATCAACTTTGGGGTTGCCTTGAAACACGTAGCTTGACTTGGCTAGGTCTTATATTGTAGTTCTGATTCGATTGACGTAGCTAAGCATGAATCGCCTTATAAATAGACAATGTGTTGGCTATTCCTCAATTGTATCAATTATTTTTGGGCATCAGTCGATCTTCAAGAGTGCAACATCGAGAGGGTGTGGTGTCGGCAGATGGTTATGCCGACAGTTGAGGGCGGCACAGGGATGGAGCAAATGAAGGGTTGAACTGCAATAATGTCTTATATTTAGTTACGGGGTAGTATTTTTTTAAGCAACTGATGCCTTAGGCACTCCCAATAAACGAACCCTAATTTCAATACATTGGCAAAGACAATAAACTTGGATTGATATTGTAAGGGTGCAACGATATGCATGAAAGAAGTCCTTTGCAACGGAAATACAAGTATCTACAAGGTGCTACTTGATAGAAGTTCACACAAGAAGCTCGGTAATTTGTCTCCGTCTCCATGCAGCACACAAGCCGTACGCACACATGTGCTCCCATGTGCCGCTGTGCTACTCACCACCCTACACAAATATCGCTCAGCCGCTGAACGGCCGGTACTCCTTGAGCTCGCCGATGACGTCGGCAATGGACCCGGCCGCGGCGGCCACGGACACGACGAGGCAGGCGGCGCTGAGCATCTGGAGGCAAACCCACCGCGTGCTCCCCCGTCGCACGCCGCGCTGCACGATGTACATCTCGACGGGGAAGTAGACGGTGAGTGGCCAGAACGCGACGGCGCCCAGGAGCCCCACGACGTCGCCAAAGAAGGGGAGCAGCATGGAGACGACGGTGGTGAGGCAGACGAAGGCCGTGCGCCAGGTGAGGCGGAAGACGCTGATGGCGAAGGGCCCCACGCGGAGCTCCCGGGCGATGAAGGCGCTGTCGGGCCACCTCGCCGCCGCCCACTTCTCGACGAAGGCGAAGAGGGGCTGGCAGAAGACCTGGTAGGCGCCGACGAGGTGCAGCACGATGGCGGCGTTGGCCACGTCCAGCAGCCAGAAGGGCTCGTAGAAGCCGAACCCCGTGAGAAGGTTGTCGGGCGCCGCGTCGCCGAACGCCGCGTACCCCATGCACCCGCACAGCATGTAGAACACCGTCGTCGTCGCCACGCTTATCCCCGTCGCCTTCTGCATCACCTTCGCCTCCGACGGCGGCGGCGCCTTCACCGTGTCCTGTTAAAATTTTGAAAAGGGCAGGCGTCGTCGTCAATACTAAGTACCACGTAAAAGAAACAGAGGATCCCAAGAAAGAAACAGAGCAGAACAGAGATTAAAATGCTTGCCTGGATTTCGATGAGGATGATGGAGTAGGAGTATGCGAAGGCGATGTTGCCGAAGGCCTGGAGGCTGCGCCACACCTTCTGCATGGAGGTCACGCCCGGGCCGACGCTGAGACCGGTGAGGCTGCCCTGGATGCCGTTGGCGACGGTCTGCGCGATGCCGAGGCCGAGCCCGATGGTGGAGTAGGTGAAGGACATGACGGCGGCAACGATGGAGAGCCACCATATCTGGTCGAAGTCCGGTATCTGCGAGAAGAGGATCTGCACCACCCCGAAGACGATCATGTACGGGTTGCTGGAGCTCTTGCACTCGTCCTTCCCGCTGCGGCCCCTGACGTCGTGGTAGTGGAAGCAGTCCGCCCTCCCGATCGCCCGCATGCTGATGGAGGCGGCGATAGTGTAGCCGATGGCGACGCCGACGAGGTTGGCGTACTGGATGACGCCGCACAGCTTCACCTTGGTGCCCGGGAGGTAGGAGCGGACGGCGTCCATGTAGGTGTAGTTGCGCTTGCCGGTCTCCGGGTCGCCGGAGCGGTAGCACTCGGCGAGGAGCGTGGAGGTGTAGTAGATGACGAGCGCGAACAGGAGCATGATGGCGGGGCCCGCCACCCAGCCGAGCTGGGCGATGGCCCACGCCAGCGAGAGGACGCCCGAGCCGATGACGGCGGTGATGATGTGGGCGCTCGCCGTCCACACCGTGCCCGACCGACGCGGGCGGCCGTCGTCGTCAAGCCAGTCGGACTCCCTGCCGTTCCCGGCCTCCACCGATACCTCCATGGGCGCCATCCTGGCCGCGCCCTTCCCGTAGGTCGCCTGCCTCTTCTCCATCAGGGAAACGATGACAACTGGCGGGTGTCTCGCCTTGCCGGCGGGGTTGATTAGCTAGCGGCTAGCGGGAGCTTGGAGTGGTGGTTCTTGTTGTTGTTGGTGGTGGAGTGAGGGGGATGGGAGGGAGGTATATATAGCGAGGCGATGGGACAAGGGAGAGGCGTGCGGGGATGGGCTGAGGCCATGTGTGGTGCAGGATGTAGATGCAATGAGGTGGTGGGGGTGGGGGTGGGGGATGCTGCCGTTGAGCTTTTGGTGTGGTTCCCGCGTGGAGGGGCGGGGGAGGAGGGAGGAGGGAGGAGGACGAAGGTGGTGTCTTGTTTCGCTTTCTAACTTCCACTGCCGCTGCCGCCGGTGGCAACTGGCAGCAGCTCCTCCTGGTCTTCGCGTGCTCTTTGCGCTGCGAGCACTATTGGATTTTTGTTAGTGCTGATGTGGAAGGATCAACTTAGTTTAGCTTTTGTTTCGTCCATTATTAGGGAAGTTGGGAGTCCTAATAAAAGACAAAAAAGAAGGAGCTAGAGAGGGAAATACCCAATGGTTCCTGGTTGTATATATGCACCCTATACAAGGATTTTTTTAAATATTTTTTATAAAAAGTCAAAATAGGTAAGAACTATTTTGACAAAACACTTGACTTACTTTTGCACTAGTATATAAATTTTTATGAGAAAAACAAAAGTTAACCTCACAGCAAAAAAGACAAAAATTATTTGCTATTATAGGTCACTATTCACATTATTTTAGTTAAAAATTTTGTCTTTTTTGAAAAGAAGTCAAAGGGATATTTTCTTTTTGTGGATTTTTTCTCACAGGTATAGCAGGAGATCAAGTTTATTTCAAAAATATTTTCAGGAATTTTTGACTTTTTGTTGAATTACTATTTTTTCTATATAGGGTGTGTATGTCCCCATAGACCACAAATCCTCCTTCGAGCTAGAGAACTGTACACAAGCCCTCAAGTAGTGAGGGCTAGGGATGGCAATGTGTTCCCATTACCTGTGTACCTCACGGGTAAAAACCCTAAATAGGGCAAGAGTATGGGTTAAAAAAGTACCCGTGAGTACATAAATAAGAAAAATTCAAATCCAATGGGTATAGTGGGTACGGATATGCTTTAGTATAACCCATACCCGTGTCCTCATGTACCCGCATGTAATCTAACAAATAGGCTTTATATATTACTTAAATCCTGCAACGCTAAAAATACCTTTTTTTTAGAAAATCACCAAGCTTTATTCATCACAAGCCACAGAATGTGGGATACACGATGGGTTATGAGGTTGGCCAAACTAAACATGGCGCCCCAGCCTTAACGAAGGAGAGTGCTTGGCTAGCTTATGAGCTTCTATATTAACCTTACGACTTTCATATGTAAAACTATAGTGAAATAAACTGGTATAAGCATTGATTTCACTGATAATTGCTCCATTGCCCCCTGGACCTGTTGTTTATATCTTCCACGACTTGCCTTGCGTCCGAGGCGATAATAACATGGTGCAACTGGAGATCCTGCGCCAATGCAAGGGCCTCTCTGCACGCAATAGTTTACAGGGACACATGGTCATCAGTTCCTCCAAGCACTAATGAAAAGCTGCCAAGATAATTTCCTTGTTTGTCCCTACTGACCACTGCCGTATCTCCTCCTCGCCCCCTTAATTAGCACACCTGCATCAACATGTATCTTTGCGTAGACATCCGGTGGCGGCTTAGAGAGGTGCAAGTGAGGCCCATTAGAACCAGCAGCGCGAGCCTTCGAAGGTTCCTTTTCATTTACCATATCCAACTCACTGATGAACCCTAGCGACGAACGCATTTATGGACTGGGATTATGGAAAACCCCTTCATGTATGGCTTTCCGTCTCGTCGACCACAGTGCCCATAGGGTAACACACAGCTCCTCCATGAGTGTAAACAACCAGCATTTTGCACTATGTTCGCTGGTTGCTGATATTTTATGCGCCAGTTCCTCATCACCTAATGCCCAAGTACATCTCGACATGGTGCAGTCCAGCAATGAGTGTTTCCATGAGTCAGACGCCCCGCACATCCCACACGATATAGTACTGGACATATTTCTATGAGCTCTTGCATCCTCAGTCGGCAGCGCATGTTTTGACAAGCGCCAAAGAAACATCCTCACCTTTCCGGGACCTCCGTTTTCCACAAGTATTTCCACGAACCTTCATCCCTGTTTGTACTAGATGATCCAACATCACCATTCAGCCATGCTTCACGTCTTGTTTTTGTTGCCACCAACATGTTATAGGTTGATTTAACTGAAAAAGATCCATGTCTCTCGAAATGCCAGCTCCAAAAATCTGGCAGGTTTGTGTACATAAGGGGATTCCCAAGATTACCTTTGCATCCATAGGCATAAAGATCTGTTCAATGACTTGTTTCTTCCACGTTGCCAAAGTGGATCAATTAGCTCAGAGACTAGTTCCGGTGGGTTTGGTACTAGACATCCTATTGGTCTCAACATTTCATTCCTAGGGAGCCAATTATCTTCCCATAGCTTTGTAGTCAGCCCGTTGCCTATTCGCTTAATCAAACCTTGCCTCAAGATATACATGCCCTCAATTATAACTCTTCAAACTTGGCTTGGGTGACCCCGAGCGTTGCATCAAGGATAGAGCCTTCTTGGAAGTATATCCTCTTCAGCAACCGGGCACTAAGTGATTCCGGGTTTTGAAGTACACACCAGGCCTGCTTGGCTAGCATTGCCAGGTTAAACAATTTAAAGTCCTTGAAACCGAGACCCAGTGTCATTGATTACCAAGAGGGAGAATACCGACAGCTAGAATTCTAGGCTGGAAAAGGAGCAAATATTAGAGACATGTTCTGCACAACTCCAAAGTCCTGAAGCTCCACGAGAGTCAGTTTCAGAATATATAAAAAATATTGGGTGAATAAAGCACCAGAGGGGGGCCACCCACCATCCACGAGGGTGGGGGGCGCGCCCTACCCCCCTGGGCGTGCCCCCTGTCTCGTGGGCCCCCTGGCAGGCCTCCGGTGCCCATCTTTGGCTATATGAAGTCTTTTGCCCTAAAAAAATCACAAGCTCTCGGGATGAAACTCCGCCGCCACGAGGCGAAACCTTGGTAGAACCAATCTAGGGCTCCGGCGGAGCTGTTCTGCCGGGGAAACATCCCTCTAGGAGGGGGAAATCATCACCATCGTCCTCACCATCGATCCTCTCATCAGGAGGGGGTCAATCTTCATCAACACCTTCACCAGCACCATCTCATCTCAAACCCTAGTTCATCTCTTGTATCAAATCTTTGTCTCAAAACCTCAGATTGGTACCTGTGGGTTGCCAGTAGTGTTGATTACTCCTTGTAGTTGATGCTAGTTGGTTTACTTGGTGGAAGATCATTGTTCAGATCCTTTATATATATTAATACCCCTCTGATTATGAACATGAATATGCTTTGTGAGTAGTTATGTTTGTTCCTGAGGACATGAGAGAAGTCTTGGTATAAGTAGTCATGTGAATTTGGTATTCGTTCGATATTTTGATGAGATGTATGTTGTCTTTCCTCTAGTGGTGTCATGTGAACGTCGACTACATGACACTTCACCATTGTTTGGGCCTAGGGGAAGGCATTGGGAAGTAATACGTAGATGATGGGTTGCTAGAGTGATAGAAGCTTAAACCCTAGTTTATGCGTTGCTTCGTAAGGGGCTGATTTGGATCCATATGTTTCATGCTATGGTTAGGTTTACCTTAATACTTCTTTTGTAGTTGCGGATGCTTGCAATAGGGGTTAATCATAAGTGGGATGCTTGTCCAAGTAAGGGTAATACCCAAGCACCGGTCCACCCACATATCAAATTATCAAAGTACCAAAGTGAATCATATGAGCGTGATGAAAACTAGCTTGACGATAATTCCCATGTGTCCTCGTGAGCGTTTTCCTTTATATAAGAGTTTGTCCAGGCTTGTCATTTGCTACAAAAAGGATCGGGCCTTCTTGCTGCACCTTATTTACTTCTATTAGTTGTTACCCATTACAAATTACCTTATCACAAAACTATTTGTTATCGATAATTTCAGTGCTTGCAGAGAATACCTTACTGAAAACCACTTGTCATTTCCTTCTGCTCCTTGTTGGGTTTGACACTCTTACTTATCGAAAGGACTACGATAGATCCCCTATACTTATGGGTCATCAAGACTCTTTTCTGGCGCCATTCCTATGGAGTGAAGTGCCTTTGGTAGGTGGAATTTGGTAAGGAAAAATCTATATAGTGTGCTGAAATTTACTGTCACCTGTTACTATGGAAAGTAATCCTTTGAGGGGCTTGTTTGGGGTATCTTCACCCCGAGCAGTAGAGCAAAGAGTTGCTCCTCAACCTACTGAACCTACTGAAAATGTTTACTTTGAAATTCCTTTGGGTATGATAGAGAAACTGCTAGCTAATCCTTTTACAGGAGATGGAACACTGCATCCTGATTTGCACCTAATCTATGTGGATGAAGTTTGTGGATTATTTAAGCTTGCATGTATGCCCGAGGATGTTATCAAGAAGAAGGTCTTCCCTTTATCTTTGAAGGGAAAGGCATTGGCATGGTTAAGGCTATGTGATAATATTGGATCATGGAACTACAACCGATTGAAATTGGAATTTCATCAAAAGTTTTATCCGATGCATCTGGT